CATAGTGGAGGTATTTGTACAACATTTTGAAGGTAGTAAATGCTGTTGAATTGTATATTTTTAAATGGTTAACTTTTTGTTACAAGAATTTCACCTTAATAAAAAATATAGTCAGCAAAAGCTGTTAGAAATACAAGGGGGCAGGGGGCTATGAGAAAAACCCACAATGATAGTGAAAACTTTGAAAACATGTTTTAAAATTTGACAGAAGAGACAAAGAATGTGATCTTAGAAAACTGATGGATTACATTAGAAAACTGATCAACTGTTCACCCAAAAAGATGCCACATACAAAAACTGACAACTTTCAAATGCTATGTAACAGTGAAATGCAAAAATCCTTTATAAACTAAGCCAGAAAAAAATCGTTAAGAGTAGAAATCTTTTAATAGTTTCTGATCACAATAAATAAGAAATTAGTAATATAAAAAATTGTTTCCTACCTCTTTCCATTAAAATGGCCTACAAACACTGACCAGCCCAACAGTAGTGAGTACCCATAGAATTTGGGTTATAGACCTGGAATGTTATATGCTACAAAAGGAAGCAGAGTTCCTAGGCAAATGGGTGATTCCAGGTTTGGGACAAAAAATAATCCTGGAAAATCTATGCATACCAAAAAGCAAGGATGCTATCCAAGACTACTAGGGTAGCATCTAAACTTAAAGAATTCCCACTAAGCTTCGAGAGAGCATCATTAAGAATAATGCAAAGGGCTAACATATATTAAATATATTAAAATTTATGAGTTCATAAATATATTTTAAAAATTCACGAATCATCTTTGCAGGATGTCTGGGAAATAACTCACTGTTCTGAAAACTGACAAAGAGTCAAGTATTTAACCTTTCTTTTATAAGCTGTACCTCAAAGTAACTACTATATAATTGATGAGGACATGTTTATCTCTAGAGTAGAATTCCAATTAACAAACGAAGGAGGAAGGATAAAAATAGATGATTACCAATGCAAACTCCTAAAGAAACAAAGGACTTAGGCAATGATCATCAATGGCTACTAACACCACAAAAAGATACAGCTAGACTTCATGGTTTTTTGTTTGTTTTTTTTGTTTGTTTGTTTATTTGTTTGCTGTTGTTTTTGAGACGGGGTCTTACTTTGTTGCCCAGGCTGAAGTACAGTGGCACAATTTTGGCTCACTGCAACCTCCGTCTCCCGGGCTCAAGCAATCCTCCATCTAAGTCTCCTAAGTAGCTAGGACTACAGGTGTGTGCCACCATGCCTGGCCAATTTTTGTATTTTTCATAGAGATGGGGTTTCATCATGTTGTTCAGGCTGGTCTCCAACTCCTGGGCTCAAGAGATCCACCCACCTCAGCCTCCCAAAATTTTGGTTTTACAGGTGTTAGCCAACATACCCAGCCCAGATTTTATGTTTATGTGCCTCCTGGTACTCAAATACTACTACTTACAAGTATTCTTGCCAAAGTCCTACCTGAAGTAGATAACCATCTCTAGATCTGATGTCTAGTTTAAAGTACTACAGGAGACAGAGCAACATGCTAAATAATATCAGCAGATGAAATCAGTAAAATTCAGAATGGGAGTCACTCATAGGATAAAAGAAAACCTGGTTTGTACAACCACAAATAACAGCAAAAAAAGATTACAAAGAACACAAAAGGGAGGAGGAAAACGCAGATTAAAATGAACAAGGGAAATATTAATGAAATGCAATGTGCAAATTTTGGATCCTAATTCAAACAAAATAAATGCATTAATAAAACCAAATTATGAGACTACTAGAGAAATTTAAGCACTGATTGGATGTTTTATAATATTAAATAACTGTCACCTATTTTCTAGCTTTGATAGTGGCATTGTAGTTATGTTTGTCTTTTTCAAAAAGAGTCCCTATCTTTGACATAACAAAATATTTACAAATTAGGATGTATTAACAAAAGGAAAATGTGGTGCCTGATAAGTGCTTCAAAATAATTCAGTGTCAGAGGACTGGGAAGGGGAAGTAGAGGATAAAATGAAACAGGACTGGCTACCAAATCAAGATTTTTGAAGCTAAAAGATGAGTACACAAGAGGTTGCTATAGTACAGGTTAGGCATCCTTAATTGAAAAATCCAAAAATCCCCAATGCTCCTAATTTTGAAACTTTTTGAGCACTGACATGATATTCAAGGATTTCAGACTTGGGATACTCAACTGGTAAGTATATACAATACAAATACTCTCAAAGCACCCAAAATCCAGTATCTGAAGCACTTCTGGTTCTAAGTAATTTTTTTTTAAGAAAAGGATTTTTTAAAATGGTTAATTTTAAAAAGTTGTTTTTTGACTTTCAATCTGAAGAATCACAGATAAACTTACTAGATGAAAGCTTATACATTCAGTTAAAAATTTCAATCCTCCATAACATTTTGATCACTTTCATTAAGACTCTGTAGTCTGAACTTTTGGAAAACTTTCCCTGCAATCAGTTGCAGCCTTATTGTTTCACTAGTCCAGGTACTGGCAAATGTCAGGCCTGCGGTCTGTTTCTGTACAGGCCTGAAGTTAGAATGGTTTTTATACTTTAAAGAGTTATAAAAAGTAAAAAATAAAAAAAGACTATGCAACAGAGATCATACATGAAGGACATTCCATTAATGAATAACAAGCAAGGCTCTGCTAGAAGCCCACCATCCCAAACTAAATTTATTTGAGAGACCAGAAAGTTCTTAAAGACCAGAAAAGATTAATATAAATCTTGTGATTTATTTTTTATTTTTTATTTTATTTATTCAGAGTTTTGCTTTGTTGCCCAGGCAGGAGTGCAGTGGCACAAACTCAGCTGACTGCAACCTCTGCCTCCCAGGTTCAAGCAATTCTCCTGCCTCAGCCTCCTGAGTAGCTAGGACTACAGGTGCATGCCACCATGCCCAGCTAATTCTTCATATTTTTAGTAGAGACAGGGTTTCACCATGTTAGCCAGGATGGTCTCAATCTCCTGACCTTGTGATCCACCCACCGTGGCCTCCCAAAGTGCTAGGATTACAGGTGTAAGCCACCACACCCAGCCAACTTTGTGATTTTGTTTTTAAAAAACCAGAATGCACTTTTATATGTATGTTGAAACTCATATAAGTTATGTATATTATTTTAGTGTATGTGAGCTTTGATTCACATTTAAATTCCAAACTAAACAAAGGAAACATTAAGAAGGATAAACTAACAATAAATCATGCTACGAATTTTACTTAACTTTCAACTGATATCTAAAAAACAGATCCAGTAAAAAACCACTGTTGATAAGTAGATGGGCCCTGCCTCTGAAGCAAGGAGCTCAAAGCTTAGTCACACACAGATCACAAACTTACAAGAATTTTGGAACTGGAAGGATCTATAGAGGCAACCTATTCTTATCTCCCTAAAGATAAAGAGAGTAGATGAAGAGACTTTCACATGGTTAATAAGCTGTATAAAAAGGCCAAGGCAAACAATTCTGAGACTTTCCTACTACATATAAAATGGTTACTTTCTTAGTTATACTCAGATCTATTTTAAGTCTGGTCCCTGAGAAATAACATTGCACAACACTCCTCAGTTAAGAACCAACAGGAGATCCTATTTTCTGTTTCCTTAGTCACAAAAGCTGACCCTGACCTCTCTCCACTGAATTATAGCTAATCATCAAGCCCCAAGGGACCTGAAACTATGTTCCCATCTCTAACTAAGGTTAAAATGAACTCCTCCCTCCAATTTTTTCTTGAGAGATCTGGCAACTTCCATGCATATCTGTTTTGATTAGGTAGTATAGATGGTACTGCTAACAGGAATAGAAAATAGAAAAATATGTGAGTAGGTAAAGCCAGGAATCTTTTTGAAAACAAACTGAATTTTATTACTATTTTAAAATTGTTCATTTATCCACTGTTAGTTATACTCAATCTTCGGCCTCTTAGATTCACAAAGACTGTTAATATCTCCAGCTCAAACCTTCCCAAGTATCTAACTTTTAATGTATAATGGGATTCTACTTCTGCAATTGAGTTTCTATTACTACCAACAATACATGAGGAATTCCGAGGTTTTAACAGTGATAATTCTCTTTGCTTGGATTAGTCTCACTTTGAGTAAAACCTTTATGAATTAGGCACGTTTTTAAATGAAGTTTTTGGTTAATTTATCTGCAAAACTGAAAAATATCCACATTATCTACCCCAAAGGTGTGCCTATGAGGGTGAAGAAATTACAACATGGTACAAATGTAGGCATTATCCTAAAAAGAAAGAGTGCTGGCATGGGGTGGTGTCTCCACACCCATAATCCCAACACTTTGGGAGGATAAGGTGGGCAGATCGCTTGGGCCCAGGAGTTTGGGACCAGCCTGGGCAAAATGGTGAAACCTCGTCTCTACAAAAATTAGCTGGGCATGGTGGCATGAACCTGTAGTCCCAGGAGGTTGAGGTAGGAGAATTGCCTGACTTCGGGAGTTCAAGGCTGCAGTGTGCTGTGATCATGCCGCTGCACTCCAACCTGGGCAACAGAGCAAATCCCTATCTCAAAAAAACATAAAAAAATAAAAAAGAATGCAATCATTTCTGGTTTCACCAAAGTTATTTTCTTTATGAGGGTAATATGATCGTAAATATATTAACTTAGACTTACAAATGAAGAAGATGGTAAATTTTATGTTACATATTTTTTAACAATTAAAATAAAAATTATAAAATATTTCTTCCATCGATAGATGAGTGAATGAACAAAATGTGGTATACACATACCATGGATTACTGAGCCTTAAAAAGAAAGGAAAATCTGACACATACAACATGGATAAAAACCTTGAAGACATTGTGCTAAGTGAAAAAAGCCAGACGCAGAAGGACAAACACTGTATGATTCTACTTATATGATGATGGTTACATATATTGTGAACTGTATTTAATCCCACTGAACTGTATACATAAAAATGGTTAAAATGTTATAATAAATTTCATAGTATGCATATTTTACCTTGTATATATATAAGCAAAAGTATTACCTTGAAGGTCTCCAATCATCTCAGAATCATGACCCCTGTCTCTTCGTTCAGCTTCTAATATAGCTTGCAGCTGGTAATAATCTTTGTCTGTTTGTGATTTAGAATTCTCTAAAATTCGGTTTCTCTCTTGCAACTCTCTGTTCAGGGACTCTAGCTGACTAATTGACTTGCTCATCTCTGTGTGGCTCTTCCTCAATCTTACAGCTGTGTCCGATTCTGTCCTAAGTAAGTCATTGGCTTCTTCTAGCTATTTAAAAAAGAAAGCAAGAAAATAGGTTTCTGACCAAAGTACAATAAAATTTAATTAACCATAATTTTCTTTAAAAAGGAATCTCATTTGAAACACTTACCTGCTTTTGTAACTGTGACAGCTTTTCATTAGCAAGCTGTGAATTCTGACTTACTTTCTTTAGGTCTTCCAACTGATCCTTTAACGTAGAAACTAGAAAATGAAAGAATAATACATAGAAATTACAAAATTTTCATAGGGGAAACACAGAAGTGCCTTTTTAAAAAATGACATTTAGGCTTAGACTATAACAGTCAGCTACATTAGGTCCACTCCCAAAGCCAAATTCCAATTTGGAAGTTCTTGCATTTTAAATTCATCAAAAAGTAGAATTCGTCGTTTTATAATACAGAGTGCAAAAACAGATTTCTTCTCTACTGTTGTAAATCTCAAACTTTTTAAATTCCCTTTATAAGATCACTCTGTTAGTGTAATGTTATAAAGCTGGTTTTAACGTTATTTTTTAATAGTTCAATTGCTTGATAGTTCAATATCTTAATAATGGTACAAAATTTAAAGGGTACCAAATGTAGACAGTATAGAATAAGTCTTCCTTTCTCAATTGAATTTCCTGCTCCCTCTGAGTCTCTCTTTTAACTGGCTCTCCTCCCCAATGTATATTTAATTTAAGCACATATAGATAAGTACTCTTGTTTTAAACACAAGCAATCTGTACTTTGTTTTTGTCACTTAAAGATATATCTTAGAGATTGTTTTATAACAGCATTTGAGGAGATGCTTTATTCTTTTTTATAAGCCACATAGTATTATAGTATTCTACCACATAGATGTATTAAAATTACAGCACTGATTACCTTTATGTTGCATATATGTATTATATTATGTTTCATATATAGCATTTTTTTTTTGCCATTTTAAACAATACTACAATGAATTGCCTTATGTATACATCAGTTTGCAGTATATGCGTATGTATGTAAATAACTTGTGGAAGTAAAATCACTGCATCAAAGGGTGTACAAAGGTATTTTAAATATATATGTAACACAGCCATTAAAACACATGTAATTCTAGTTTAGCAGTTCTCAGATGCAGCTGCTTGTTAGAGGTACCTAGGGGGCCTGTAAAAAATGATACTCAGGCCACACATTTAAACCAATTAAATTAGAATTGCTGGGATTTAGGCATTAGTACTCTTTAAAGCCTCCCAGGAGATTCTAGTATGCACACCATGATGACAATCACTACTCTAGTTAAATGCTACTTACTATTTACTTTAATATATTATAAATTTAACTTCAGACCTGGGTTAAGATTGTAGCTTCTTAGGATTGTAGCTTCATGTATGTAACATGGACACTAAATTTAAGACAACCTCATGACAGTGTTAGAAATTCTACCATTTTTCAAAAGTAATGACAAATTACCTTCATTTTCTACATTTCTTCTCTTCTCATTTTCCTGTTCAGCTTTTCTTTGGTACTCATTAATTCTATGCTGTAGCAACATTTTCTCCTTCTCAATCTGAGACACTGTAGATTCTAGATTTCTTCTTTGATTTCCCTGAAAGTATAATGATAAAAGTTACCACTGCAATTAATACTCTCATCATTCATTCAAGGGAGTACTATGTTCTTAAAAAAACAAGGAAAAAAAAAAACATACAACACTTAAGATGAATGTTTTGTTTCAAAAGCATAGTATTCCAAATACAACTTTCTAAGCAGCTTGCCTTTTAAGAAAACAGGGAAATCTCCTTATTTGAACTTGATAGGTAAAAATTTTCAGACTTCTGACTCCAAGAATTTAAAATACAACACTGTGAATCTTTTCAGACAGAAAGTCACTCTCTAAATTTAAGACAATCGCATTGTATTATATTATCAATATTTTGGTTTGTTAACAATCCCAAGTTTAAGGTATGGAATATGAAAGGATCCTTTGATAATTGATGAAAAGCTCAAACTGTAATAGATGGTACAGAATGTACAGTGAGTTCACCATTTCCTCTATGTCTCCCTTAATCCTATCTCTGTCAACAAGTTGCTTTATCTTTCTAAGATGTTCTAGGTATCTACCTACCAGTGTGTATTAAAAAGCAATCAAGGAAATTCTTAATTTAGAAACTACAGGAGAGAGGATTAAAATATCATTTTTTTGTTTTTTGAGACAGATTCTCACTCTGCTGCCCAGGCTGGAGTGTAGTGGTACAATCTCGGCTCACTGCAACCTCTGCCTCCAAGAGATTCTCCCTCAGCGGGGACTACAGGCATGCACCACTGCACCTGGCTAATTTTTGTATTTTTGGTAGAGACAGGTTTTGCCATGTGGGCCAGGCTAGTGTTGAACTCTTGACCTCAGGTGATCCACCCATCACAGCCTCCCAGAGTGCTGGGATTACAGGCAGGAGCCACCATGCCCGGCCTAAAATACTCAACTTTTCACAACTTAAAAATGTATCTTCTGTTTCTGAGTTACCACTACCAGTCTTGTTTTTGATGTTTCACTTTTTAAGACTCCATATTAGAAAACCTGTTTTATAGTGTTTCTGGGCTTTCTCATCTTTAAGCAAAAACTGGACATAAAACATTCAAGGTCTTTCTGATTATAAAAGTTTATCATTCTAACTTTTAATTTTTAGATAATTATACATTCAAAGAAAGTTGCAAAGACAGTACAGAGAGGTCCCAAGTGCCTTTCCACTCAGGTACCCCCAATATACATTATATATAACAATAGCACAATAACAAAATCAGGAAATTGTCACTGGTATAAAGTGGGTACAGTTCTGTCATTTTATCACATATGTAGGTTCATGTAAGCATCACCACAGTGAAGAAACAGAACTGGTCATCACAACAATCTCTTTCCAGTCACTAGTTGTAGCCACACCCATCCCCGTTCTCCCAACACCCATACTCCTGGCAATCGGTGGTTATCCATTTCTATAATTTTGTCTTCTTGAGAATGTTTTATAAATGGAACCATGCAATATATGACTTCTTGAGGTAGGTCTTTTTTTTTAAACTCAACATAAAGCCCTTAAAAATCCATCCATTAACATGTATTGTATGTATCTACAGTTTATTCTTTCTTATGGCTGAGTATTCCATGGTACAAATGTACTATAGTTTATTCAACCATTCACTTATTGTAGGGCATTTTGGTTGTTTTCAGTTTTTTGCTATTACAGACAGAGCTGTTACAAACATTAGGGTACAGGTTTTTGTGAGACTTTTCATTTTTCTGGAATAAATGCCCAAGAATACAATTGCTGGGTCACATAGCAGATACATGTTTAGTTTTTCAGGAACACAGCCAATTCGCTTTCCAGAATGTCTGTACCATTTTACAACCCCATCTGCATGTACAAGTGATCTGGTTTCTCCACATCCTTGTCAGTTATTGATATAATTTTAAAATTTACTTTTTCTTATGGTTATGGAGTAATATTTCATGGTAGTTTCAATTTGCATTTCCCAAATGACTAATGATGTGAACCTCTGTTCATGTTTGTCATTCATATTATCTAAAAAGTTCAAAAAGTATGAATTCACTTTCCTTAACACATAGTGCTATTGAAATTACCTATTTCACACTGTATGAGTTGTGCTAGTTTTTTTTTTTTTTTTTTTTTT